ACGCCGCCGCTGCTGCTGGCCCTAGCTGCGGCAATGGATGGGCCGCTGCCGCCGTCGCCGCAGCTGCCGCCGCCGGTCTCGCCGGGCTGCTTGGCGCCGTCCACCTCCATACAGCTAAACCCCTTCTCCACTCGCCGCAAGCCAAAGTGCAGCTCCCCGCTGCCGCGGCGCATACCCCTGTTGTTATGCTTGCCACAAACGCCGCCGCCACAGCTGTTGTCGCCGCCGCAGCTAACGCCACCGCAACTAGCGGCACCCGACGGCGACATCGCCACGGCCGCCGCTGCCAATGGACTGGACGAGTCTTGACCGCATCCACAGCCACAGCACTTCCTGGGTATCGTCGATGTGATGGAGTGGCGACGTTCCATAAGAGCGCAACAACGCGGCGGCGCCGGCGACGGCGGCGGTGGCGAGATCCATGCAGTACGGCAGCACCAGCAGGCATGGCAGGTCAAGCACGGCCTTTGCTGTTGCTGCTTCTGGAAGTTCTGCTGGCCCGCAATGGAGGTTGCGGAGGCTTGGACACCGCCGCTGCCGCTGCCGCCGCCGCCGCCGCTAGCGCAGGTCCGGTTGCCGCAGGCGCCACGGCCATAGGGGTGGTACCGCTGAGCCGCCCGCCATCGGCTACGATCAAGTCCCTCATATTCCGCATAGCTGCCACCGCCGCAGCTACAGCCGCCGGTGCAGCCGAAGTAGTCGCCGCATGCAGAGGCTGTAGCGGCGGCGGCGCCGCTGCCGCCGCCGCCGTCACCGCAGTCAGCGACAGCGCCGCCGCCCATATCCACAGCGTTCAACGCCGCCGCCGTGTGCTGACACCGGTGGTGATGCTGGCACTGGTGGATTTGATGCAGGGGATTTTGTTGATGCGAGGGGCTACTGCCAAAATGCGACACCACAGTGGCTGTAGCAGCTGGCAGCTGTAGCAACGGCAACCTGCATTGGGGGTAGCCAGGTGGTAGCAAGCCCATCGCCTCGAGGTCCGGCGGAGGTTGGCCTAGCATGGCTGCGGCGGCGATGGCGGCGGCGGCGCGGGCGAGCTGTCGGGCATGGACACTCGGCGGCGGCGGCGACGAAGGCGGCGACGGCGGCGGCGCAAACGCCGTCGGCACCATTGGCGCTGCCGGCGTGTCACAGCAGGGTCCACGGAGGGATGGCGGCGGCGGTCGTCGCAGCGAGGACTGATCAACCACGACAGGGGCGACCCTGCTGCCGCCGTCGCTTAAGTCGGCGGCAGCGCCGCCTCCACCGCCGCTGCCGCCGCCGCAGTTGCTTGACTGAGATAACGCCGTCACTAGCTCGCGCGGGTGGGTGTCGTACGCCGCTGTCGCTGCCGCCGGCCTCACCACCAGTAGTGTCGGCACGCTCGCTGCCATAGTCATTACTACGGATCCTGCACCGCTACCTCGACTTGGAAGCATTGACAGCGCCTCCGCCGCCGGTGCTATCGTACCCGTCTCCGCACAGCTGCTATAGCACCCGCCGACGCCGTCGTCGGTGCCCGGCGGCGTTGCCGCCATGGCGACCGATGCCGTTGCGGACGAACAGGCTCCTGGCGTCGGGAAGGCGCTTTGGAACGCAGGCGCTGATGACGTGCCACCTCCACTGTACGGCAAGACAGATGTATGACAACCCATCTGACTTGCTGCAACTCCGTTAGTAGTTAGGGCTGGTACGGCTGCCGAGCCGGGCGGCGCATGAGGGGGCCCCGAGCAGAGCAATGGGGTATTGCTGTGCCAGTGCGCGGGGGGAGAACAGGCGGGCGCTCCGGCGCAGTCCTGCCAGGCTGACGGCTGCGGCGGTGGCAGCGGCGGCTGCAATGAGGTGGTGGCTGCAGGAGTGAGGGAGGCGGACGAGCCGTTTTGGGCGAGGAAAGGTGGCGCAGGTGCGGTAGTGCCGCCGCCGCTGGCTACAGCTTCGGAAGGTTGTGCAGGTTTTTTGGTTTCGGACGCGCTGGCGGGGGAGGGCCGCGGCCCTGGCGGCGGCATTACGACTGGGACAGCGTGCCGTATTTGGTGCTGAAGTTGTTCTAGTTGTAGTTGTTGAAGTGATGGTGGTTGACTTGGTTCTGGCGGTGGTGCTGGTTGCGGTGGTTGTGGTTGTGGTTGTGATAGTGGCTGTGTTTCCCATGGTGCCTGGGGTGCGGCGCCGTTCGCTGCGCTGGGGCTGCTGACAAATTGAAGGCTTGATCCGGGGCTGCTTGGTGACGATTCCGGGACCGGCGCGCTGTAGATGGCGTCCCAGTCGACGGCATTGAGGTCCATGTCGTTACTCGCAGTTGGCCCCAGCGCGGAGAGCTGTACAGCAGGTTGGTACAGTCCAGAAACCCCATAACCATGCAACTTCTCCGTTCCAATCAGCGCACCGTCCCACCCCGCATCGCTGTCTAGGAAGCCATCAAGGACACTGAACGTTTCACCTTCCGAAATCGTGTTTCCAAAGAGAGGTCCGATTTCCATGGCTAATTGATGAATGTTTATACTTTCTTAAGGTTCACGCTTGCGCTGAGGATTTGGGCTCGGGCATTTTGGCAACCTCACGTAGTCAAATGCGCGACAGCGTAGGACAAAAGCCGCTACCGATGAATGTCCAATGAACGATCATCAACACCTGTGGTTTTGGGCAACACGTAATGGGTTGATATTCCCAGCCAAACAAACGAGGACAGGATGCGAACTTTACCAATGGGCCGGCGGCGAAACGTGGTAATTATGGCGGATATCTTTAGTCAGAGCCAACAACACCACTAGAAATAGCCATCGACGTACGTGCCGTGGCTGATTGCAGCTACAGGGGTCCTTGAATACTGCTTCGCCCCCCACCCCCGCGACTCACACAAGGACTCCATGTTGAGTATTTTGCAGAGAAAAATAAACAGCTTGTAGGTATATCGTGAAAGAGATGATGACCTAATTACTCCACCTAAGCACAGAACCGAACCTATCCTGCGCACAGGCGATGCACCTGAAGTTTCTGGTATCGAGTCGTAATAAATTACAAGGCAAGACATGTATTACAGTTATCGAGAGGGTGCGATGGCACAAGGGAGGCGCGGAATGGCCAAGAGTCTTGCTTGTGTTATGGCGGGCTGCAAGAACGAAAACACCCGTACATTACTAAACATCTTTGCCAAAATTGGTTAAACTCATCGTGTCTCTAAGAATACTCCATCATCTCTGGGGATTGGTATGCAAATCTGCCCCATGCTTATGTTCCAATTCCCTGCTATGTAGGAAACCTCGCAGGCAACTAGCTCTGCAGGAGGCGAGCCCACAAACCGCTTTCTGGCACCGGCTCACACATTATGAAAACCCACTCCTGAATGAGCTTGATGTAATAGCAGAGAGGCCCAAGAAGGAGATCTGTGATTTTTGCCTCCAAATGACTTCAGAAAATCAGGAAGTGCTGCCAGCAAAGAACCATCACTATGTATTTCTCAGCGGAGCAATATCTGGGGTGAGGGCCCGATTCCAACCGATAAGGGGAAACCCTTGTGGTTAGTCGGTCAATACCATGCTCAAACGAGTACATTGAAGCTGCGGGCTGCTAAAATTCTGGTTACACTTACATCCTTGTAGATTGTCGAGGGCCTCAGCATTCAGCCGCTCGAGCTTCTCAAGACACGGTGCGCTCAAGTCGGAGCGGATTGGCTTAGCAGCTCCAGCCGCACCACGCGTCCGCTACACAGAACATATGAAAGCGCTGATGAGCTGGAACACTAAGGCCGATGATGCCGTTGGCCAGCCACTACCGCCACCACTTCCTTTACCGCCACCATCATACCCAGTACGCGACCATGAGCAGCAGTGCACTCGCGGAATCCCTCCCTCCCAAAACAGGCGACGCCCCTTCGAATGCGTGCTTGAAGCGTGCTTTCCTTCCCTCCTTCCCTCCCTTGCCTTCCCCCTCTCGCCTAATCCCACCTTACAATTGTCATCATTATTAGGTTCATCACTCATGACATCTACCAGCCTGCCCTGAGCACCACCACCTTCACTGGATCGACTTAAATTGCTCCTCCACTTCCACTTCACCTGTCGGCGGTTAATACTTTGGATGTCGAGGGATCCAAAGTATTGCAATGCCTTAACGCCCAACATTCCCTTTCCCGCGCACCCAAATCATCATATTCCAACCTATATGTCACCACTGCACTGCGCACCTGTCAGTCTGTCTGTCTGTCTGTCTGCCGGTTTGATTTGGGTCAGACTATTCTGTCCCTGTCTTTCCCCCACCACTCATATCCTATTGTGCTGGGGTCATTTAGGGGGGCTTCCCGCACCTTTTGGTGCGTTCATATATCCCCCCCTGCACATATACATACATACATACATACATACATAGATACACATGCACACACGTGCTCGTTAACGCTATTCCACGTGGCGCACTGTGCGCGGCGTTTCTCGCAGTTTTCAGATCAACCCCGGCCAGCCTTTGCGGCTGCTGCCTACCGTGCGGGAAGTCCTACGGGAGGGCGGTGTACTGCAATTCTACCGGGGGGGCTTGCCGGAGATCGTAGGTGTGTATGTATGTATGTATGTATGTGTGGTCGGGCTATGTTGGGAACGCGAGAAGGGGGATACGGGGACAGTGTCGGAGATACGCGCAAAGAGATGCCGGGTTTACCGTATTCACTTCCTCTAGCCATACATACATATATACACAAGGCAGAGGTTAAGGCCTGACTTCTGCTCCCGGCCGACCTGGGGTTGAAATCCGCCTTCCGGCTCCTCGGGTGTTTGAGGAGTGTTGAAATGGGAGGTGGCCCCCCATCATATGGACGATGTAGGACGTGATAATATCAACTTGCGAGCTGACCAGGAACTAAGTTGATGCGCCGATAATCCGCTAGATTTGGTTGGATGCTGGTGGTGAGTTGCCGAACCCAACGAATACATTGTGAAGTCGGATGGGGTGACGGATTAGGGTGCCCCTCTAGCAGGGGAGAGCAGGGACTGCCCCGGGAAAGGGGGCCGCTGGCGAAGTTAACCACCCTGTAACAACATACACACGTGCCACACTTAACCCATGCCAATCCCCACGTGCGCTCACGTCCTTCCCCATCTCTCCCATGCCGTACAGGTCTCATACCCCGTGCCACAGCCGCACTGTCCACTCTGGAGTTTAGTCAGCGACAGCTCCGTGCGGCGAATGGCGGAGTGCTAAGTCCCGGGGGGGCGTACCTGAGTGGCGCACTGAGTGGGGTTTCGGAGGGCCTGGCGTTTGCGCCTTTCCAGGTTATTAAGGTGAGTGTACGACATGCTTCAGGGGGAGTTAGGGACGGCCTGAGGTAAAACACATGGCGGGTTAGAGGAAAGGGGGGAAACCGGGGGAAGAAGGGCGGGAAAAGACGAACCACGAATGGGTGAAGCTGCTGCCAGGGCAAGAGTGCACCAGAAGAAGGGGGACGGGGGCAGCTATCTGTGGAATTGGGCAGGGTCGGGGCGGGGAGGTGATGCGATTTATCGGGGGGGTCAGGGCAGTGGGGTTTAAGGTGTGGGGGCTAAGGCTCGGGCTGTGGGGGTACTGCATTGGCTTCACGTAATCCTGATGGGAGGGGCGATAAGATGGGAGAGGGAGAGCTTTTGAATGGTCGCGTGCGTAAGGCCCGGTGGGTGATTGGGTGGGCGAGTGATCTTAACCAACAACTGCAACCACTCCTAACTACCTCCAACCACCACCTCCAGTTCACTATCATCATCATAGCCACCAGTAGCTATCAAAGGGTGCGAACGACGGGATGTGTAAGTGCTGCAGCATGGGAAACCATCCAAACAACCAACTAACAACCGTTTACTGCTCCTGGAGCGCTAGAAGCCATTTCCGTAGACCGAGTGACGCAACCGAATTCGCAGGTTCGGTTAATGGCTAAGGAGCATCTGAATCGTTACAAGAATAGTTGGGACTGCCTGGTCAAGGTACGGCAGCTGGTTAAGGGGTTGGGGGGGCGGGGGAGTATTCCGCGCGCGCTCGCGCACGTGTGTGTATGTGTGGCTGTGGGGTCCGGCGTGTATGTATGTTGTCACAGGGTGGTTAACTTCACCAGCGGCCCCCTTTCCCGGGACAATCCCTGCTCTCCCCTGCTAGAGGGGCACCCTAATCCGTCACCCCATCCGACTTCAGAATGTTTTCGTTGGGTTCGGCAACTCACCACCAGCATCCAACCAAATCTAACGGATCAACGGCGCATCAACTTAGTTCCTGGTTAGCTCGCAAGTTGATTTTATCACGTCCTACATCGTCCATATGATGGGGGGCCACCTCCCATTTCAACTCTCCTCAAACACCCGAGGAGCCGGCAGGCGGATTTGAACCCCAGGTCGGCCGGGAGCAGAAGTCAGGCGCCTGCCTTATGTTTATGGCATGTATGTTTGCTAAGAATCCCAGGAGGAAGATGTGCGTGTGTGTGTGTCTTTCACAGTGGTGGGATAGGATGGATTTCCAGGACCAGTTTGTGCCGCGACTTGTATGTATGTATGTATGTATGTATGTATGTATGTATGTATGTATGTATGTACGTATGTATGTATGTATGTATGTATGTATGTATGTATGTATGTATTTGGGTATGCGTGTTAGTGTGCGATGTGCGCGGGGGAAGCGTCGACAACCGCACCTTCACCAACCAGTCCTCCCCTCCCCTCCTCTCACACACCTCCTCGGACCCGTCTCCCTGCTCAAACACGTCCACACAATCCGGAACCCAAAACCTTAATGTACGGCAGGTTGTACGACAAGAAGGCGTCTTGGCCCTGACCACGGGCCTGGGCCCTACGCTGTGGCGCAATTGTGTTTGGAACTCGTTATACTACGGCACCATGCACCAGCTCGACCACCCTAGCGAGGGGCTGGGGCTGCTGCCGCCCCTGGAGAACCCTGTGTTGCGGGGGGCACGGTAGAGTGGGGGGCCCGGGGAGGGGAGGGGAGAAACATTTGGCCATGAAAGGACTTGTGTGTGCTTGTGTTTTTTTGGGGGGTTGTTGGGGGAAAAAGTGGGGCTGAGAGATACGGTACGACACCCCGGGCACAAACGAAGATGTGAATGATGCATGTGCAGCACCCGTACAACCATTACCACCAGCACAACACTTGACTCCTTCAAAATGCCCCCTCACCCCCAATACCCTGAAATACACACACATACACGCATACACACCACCTCGGCGGGGTGTCCTTCCGACGACCAAGCTTACTAGTCCTGGCCCCGCTGTACAGGACCATCCTTGTGGGTACGGCAGTTGGGGTGATGGCCACTTGCTTCAATGCGCCGTTTGGTGGGTCCTGTCCACGTGAAATGATATGTGAAATGTAGTGAACTGGAATGAAACAAAGTCAAGTGGGGTTGAGTAGCATGACCGGAATTGCCGTCTCCGTCGTTGTCGTTGCCGTCGTCATCACCATCATCTTCTTCTTCTTCTTCGCACTGCTCAAGGCTTGGCATATAATCCCCCACTTTGGGCGGGAGCAGGCGAACAGGGGCGCCCTTCCTCTCAAATCCCGACCCAGCAGCTTACATCCCACAGCAGCGCCACACAGCAGCACCACACCCTCATCTTGCTGTTGCTGTTCGTCCCGCAGATGTGCTCAAGAGCCGGTTTCAGGCCCTCCTCCCCGCCGAGCGCCTCGCCCGGGGCTACCGCTTCACACTGCCCTCCCTGGTGGCCATAGCCGCTGCCGAGGGACCCCGGGCACTGTACAAGGGCTTCGTGCCCAAGGCTCTGAGACTGGGTATTGGACAGACCATCGGGTTAATGGTTTTTCAGAAGAGTTTGGAGACGTTTGGGGCGATGGAGGGGGGGGGTGTAGAGGGGGGAAGGTGAGGGGAGAGGGGGAGGGTAAGAAAACGTGAGCCTGTTAGGGAGACGAGACAGACAAACGGACAGCGAGACAGTCGGATGGAGAGTGTGTTTGTCGACACTGTTGAGGGGGGGGTGTGGTGTGGTTGAATATATTGGCCCTACTAGTAAAGGGGTGCACTGGGGGCTGGGGCAGAGGTTGAGCTGCCTGTCTGTGTTGGATTTTGTTGCGGCCAGCTTTGGTTGCGTTCTGGTCGGTTGTGTTGTGTTGCGCTGCGTTGCTTTGAAGGTGGGTGATGGAAGGGGTGTAATATTGGGCTGTATTAGAACACCACCACCGGGTAGAAACCCTGAGAATAGAACGGACTGCAGAGTGTCGTGTGGAGTGTATGTATGTATGTATGTATGTATGTGTATGCGCGGCAGAGGGCGAGCGAGGCGCGCGGAGATTGGATAGAGAGGAGGAAATGAGAGACCAAGGCCGGTTTGAAGGGGGCGGGAAAAGTGTACAGCAGGCAGTTCAGTTGAAGCTCAGGGCGATGTACGGACCGTGTGCGAGGTGGAGAGAAGCGGATGGTTGTGGGGGGGATGGGGGGGATGGGGGCCCCGCTCCTGAGGGACACGGTGGGTTGGCGGACGGCCGGCGGGGCTGTGTGGGCCGTGTTTGGAACGACGGGGGGGATTGCGACCGATAGCAGCTGCTACAGTCCTCCTTTTTTTCCCTCGGCCCCCGATTTTTGTCAGTCGCAAATTTGGTTCAAAAAAAGGGAAAAAACGGAGCGCGAAAGAACTGGGTCAGGGCACCCTGTGCCACGGCTTGCTGGATCCATGATAAAGATAGTCATGGTTACGCTTGCGCAGACGAAATGGCGTTTTGCTGAAAGTGTTGGTTGCAGGTATTGTACGATGGCACCAGGTACGACAACATCGTGTTTGTATGCACCTGCACGCACGGCTTTGGGGTGTGTGTTTTACTAGGGTCCTGAACGGAGTGGTTAACCTGATTTCAGCTTGTTGGTGTGCGGCAAGGACATGCAGCGATCCACGACGAGCGAGTTGTTGCTTTCGCGCAGTTGCGAAGAAAACAAAAAATCGGATTCTTCTTGCAGTAGCGCGTAGATTAAAAGCGAATGCTCGGAATGAGTAACATTTTGGAAAGAATTTTACAAACGATACTCGCAATGATCAAACATAATAGTTGGGTCCTCGAAAACAATCGTAGACCTAAGCGATTCCGAACCGGTAAACGGTCCCGACCAGGTAAAAGACTCCACCAGGAACTTATGGATAATAAAGTTTTCAGCTTTCAAATGGAGCTTTGTTGTATGGGTGAAACTTTAAACTTGACCGGCGGAGCTTACCACGCGGCTTTCGGCTTACAGCCGGCCGCCGGGTCCAGGCAAAAAAAGATGTTTAAATACAACATTATTCCATGATTCTATGTTGATCATATGCATAATGGTGCAGCGCCGTTCCTACATAGTTGGTGGATTGACTTGTCAGAAGAGTTACGAAGCTGGTACGACAATGTAGGAGGCAGGGCAGAGCAGCAAAGTGCTTTTATTCGTGGCGCGCTGGCAATCAATACCAGGTGCTCCATCTTCTGCAAGCCAATAAATCCGCGTCTCGAACAAACTTTCGCCTGGTTCCCTGGAAACCATATCTGCTAAACGGTCTGGAGAGAAATCACCTGGGCCTGGCCACGAGAATCGGCATTGTTTGTCAAGTTTTGAACTGGTTTGGATGCCTTCAGTTTCCTATTGCGTGCACGTGGACGTCAACACCTGACGGCTACAACAACTTGCCCTGTACAGATGTTGAACCCGCAACAACCATTTCTCGGTTTATGTGGTTAGAGCAGTTGCCCTTTGCAACACCAATTTAGGATGGCCTGGTTATGACTGGACATCTGGCAGTAATTTGATTCATAGAAATGTGAATCACTGGCACCCGAGTTAGCGAGCCACGCACAGGCTTCGAAATTGAGTGGGTAATGAGGGCCATTGTATTTACAGCCATTTTATTGGAGATACTGATCATTCTTACTTCGCCAATAGCGTCGCTACAGCAACTGGCGTGGAACAGTGCCCTACTTCGGAGCCCTCTTGCTAATGCGACGACGACCAGGCAAGAGGGGCATCTCTGGCAGGACCTTCAGCTTATATCAGAGGTGCCCTGTCGGACCCATTTGATGAATGTAGCCGAGCTGCGCTTTGGAGCTGCAGAAATATGTAAGGAATTGCTCACGCGATTTCCCGCGCTAAACGAGAGTAGTCTTGAAGAATGGCTACATGCATCCATCAGCTTTTTGGCTGCGCACGCCGTGCGGAACTATTCAGTATTACTGCCCACGAACGAATCTGTGAGCCTGCCATCGGCGCAGCTAAGCGGCTTGCCTATGGTTAGGAGGTCGCTATTGGCTCAATTGGTCAAAGCATGGCTGACAGGACTGAATCGACAGATGCCTGCACGGCTGGAGCCTTTGGTTGCTCAGCTGATCTCTTTGGTGAGCTGGTGACTTGCCATCTGCACCCCACGGAACACCGGAGCAGCTGTGAAAGTTCGCCGGCTCAGCTGCTACGTGTAGATTGCTTTCTGTGGCCGACAGAAGCAAGCGTAACCCAAAGTTGCCATGTCCCGCTCCCCAATTGCTTCTACTCGTGTATGTTAGGTCACCGAGACGGATCTGCGTCCGTAGAGACACACTCGCACATTCTGAAAGACATTCTGAAACAAGCTTTCTTTCGCCGGCGCAACCACACTGAGATCACGCGAAAAACTTTGTTCCCTTGCAAAAGAACACATGAAGTACTTTTTGTTCTTTTTCCATTCAAGGGTGGATTATGGTTGTGACGGATGGCTGCGAGGTGAAGGACGCAGCCTGCTCTGGGCTCTGGGTTACAACCCGCATTCATCACATTTTGGCTTCGCATCTGACTCGGCTCGTGTGTTTTATCGACACGCTTTGCGTGGTGCCCTCCCAAATCCTTTATATCATCGTAGATGTACGGCATTCACAAGGACTCTGTCGTACACCGTGGCGTACTGCAGTACCACCACATCTCCAAGTCCGGTGGCACGGCCTGGAACGAGGCAGCCTGTGAGTAGTATGCTGAATTGATGGCCCCTGTTTGTATGTATGTTGTTACAGGGTGGTTAACTTCGCCAGCGGCCCCTTTCCCGGGCAGTCCCTGCTCTCCCCTGCTAGAGGGGCACCCTAATCCGTCACCCCATCCGACTTCAGAATGTATTCGTTGGGTTCGGCAACTCACCACCAGCATCCAACCAAATCTAGCGGATCAGCGGCGCCTCAACTTAGTTCCTGGTCAGCTCGCAAGTTGATATTATCACGTCCTACATCGTCCATATGATGGGGGGCCACCTCCCATTTCAACACTCCTCAAACACCCGAGGAGCCGGCAGGCGGATTTGAACCCCGGGTCGGCCAGGAGCAGAAGTCAGGCCTTAACCTCTGCCAGCCGCCTGTTTGTATGTATGTTTGTATGTATGTATGTAGGTAGGTATGTAGGTAGGTATGTACATGTGTATGTATACGAGTGTGTTTTTGTCGGTGCTTGGACGTGTTTCACCTTCCCCTCCAACCCCCTCCAACCCCCTCCAACCCTACTGGCAATAGTATTGGAACTCTGGCTGATTGCCGGGCAAACGCCGTACCCCCAGTTATTAGTAAACCAAACGACAACGCGTCAACCACTTTATTAAACTCCTCACAAAATCTGCTCCTTTTTCAATCTCCTTTTTCAAACTTTCCAACCCTTTCCAACCCCCTTCCAACGGCTCTCCCCACGGGCACCACTGGCCTCATTCGCACCCTTCCCACACAAAATACTATCATACACAGCGCTTACATACATACATACATACATACATACATATATGTACTGATTAGTTGGTGTTTTTTTTGCATCTTGCAGTCCATTTTTGATTCACCGCCTCCCTCCCCCCTTTCCCCCGTCTTCCCCCCCACCACACACACACACAGCCGCCAACGGCTGTGTGGTCCCAAAGACACTCGGCAACCACGTGCGCGGATTCGGTGACGAATGCCGTTGGGTGGACCCGCGCATGTATCGGAACCTGTCCGGCAGCACCCGACTCGTACTGTAAGAGGGGGTCGGGGTTTGGGTGGGGGAGTTTTGTGAAGCATACGGGGGCTGGGGAGGTTGGGAAGCAAGTCAGACTGGGTTTTGGACCTTGAAACCCTCCCAACCCTCATCCCGAGGTCACGGTCGCCACGGACGCCTTTCGGTCAGTTCTACGTTTGTTACTCTCTTGCCCTGGCAGCAGCTTCAATCGTGTGTGGTTCGTCTTTCCCACCCCACCCCACCCCGTTTTCCCCTCTTCCCCCAACCAAGCCCCCTCAACTCGAACTCCAACTCCCTGCCTCCCTCCCCCACCCAGTAACCCAAACTCCCTGCGCAGGCCCCTACTCCCACGCCCCACCTTTGCTGGTGTCGTTGTGCACTCACGTAACCCCACCCGTACTGCCTCTCTCCAATGCGATCTCATCTTCTCCCGCTTCCTTTTTTCCCGCCCCCTCACTCACTCACTCACTCCCCTCCCCCTCCCCTCCCCCCTCTGTCCACCCCGGTCAGATGGGCCCGATGGGGTCCGTTCCGGCGGCCCCGGGGGGCCCGCAACTGCTGGAGTCGACTAGCCCGGGTTGCGGGAGCGGGTTTGTCGTACTTCTCAAATGAATACTCGTTGCTGGGCCCCCAGCGGCGACATCAGCAGCAGCAGGAGGAGGAGGAGGAGGAGGGAGGAGGCGGAGGAGATGCGGATTCTGGATCGTTCCTAGGGGCACATAGCTGTCCTCAGTTTGTAAATGTGGTGACGTTGCGGTAAGGGAGGGGGAATGACTGACAGCGTGAAGGGTTTTGTGTGTATGTAGGTATGTACGTCTGCAGGTATGTATGTGTCGTGTACGTGCAATTAAACTAGTTTTTCTGTTGATTCGATAATTGCGCGGCCCCACGAACCCCTTCCCCCCCCACACACACACAAACACACCCCACACCTTCGATCCGTTTTGTCTCCTCCTGTTACTGCTACAACTGCTACTGCTACACCGCCATTACCACCATCTACTGCTACTGCCCCCTCACCACTACAAGACTGTGGTATATGTATATGATGTGTGAAACAGGGGGGTGTATCTTCGCCCGTGGCAGCTACCCTGCGAAACCCTGCCTTCCCCGGTATTTCGGGGCACCCTCATCCACTCACCCTGGTCAACTACTGGGTGGATCGCTCAGGTTCCGCACCCACCACCAGCATCCAACGGAATCTGCCGGGTCGACAGCGGCCCAACTCCATTCCTGGTCGACTCGTAGGTTTGCTTTATCCCAGGTCACCACGGTCCATCAACTAGGGGCGCAATACCTTCCACCATCGGAAGGACTTTTGACCCTAACGGGTATCGATCCCGGGATCTCCCCGGGGCAATGGTCGCGCCTTACCAGTGGCATATGTATATGTATGTCTGTATGTGTATGTATGTATGTATGTATGTTCATCTCCAGGCAGCCCCAGCGGCGACTGGAGTCCGCGCTGCGTTTCCTGCAAGTCTACATCCGCCGCTACTGGCAGGTGGATGACAGGGAGTACGGGTTGACACGGTTCCGGCAAGTGTTTTGTAACGCCAGCGCCGACCTGTGGCGGTCCCTGGCTCCCCCCGTGGCGGATAACTACATGACCCGGTACGGAAGGGGGGGCCAGGGGGAATATGTGATTGTGGTGGTGGTGATGGTGGTGGTACGGAAGTGTGTGTACGGGAGGGAAAGGTGTGGGGGGGGGGAAAAGGGGGACGGGCCGGAGAAGGGCCGCGGGGCCCAAGTGTCGTACCCGCGCAGCTTTCTTGTGCTGCTTCTCTCATTTCCGCATCGTCAAACAACAATACATACATACATACATGCATACATACATACGGCCCCGTTCCATCCTCCTTAACCCTCCGCAGATCCTTCCTGGATGAGGAGGGCTTCCACACAAACCCAGGGCAACTAAGTGTACGGCATTTGTCCGCTGCACGACAGCAGCTGGTGCAGTTTGACCTGGTCTTGGATCTGGACGCGGGGATGGCGGCAAATGACCAATTTGTACGACAGGGTTTGGGTTGGCCGGCGGCATGGTCCAAGGCGGTGAGTCGCCTCTTCCTCCGTCACCCCCGACGGCGCACACACACCATTTATTTCCGGGTTTGTTCTTGAGCGCGTGTGTTGGGTGGTCGTGTGCGTGTGATAGGGTTTGCGGCACGCCACTTCGGCGTCCGTCCGAACCCCCCTGCGTGCACACGCGCACGCGCATACACACCCGCACACCTTTCTGGGACTCTTCCCCCCCCCCCCCCGAGACTGGGCCCCCGCCCGCCATTCACCTGCAGAACCAAACCCTTAACGGCACCGTACTAGCCAAGTACCTTGGCCCGGACTGCGGTGTGCGACAACAAGTACTGCAGGAACTGCACATGGATCAAATGTACGACAGGCTGTTGTACAGGTGCGCGCGAGCTTGTGCAAAGGGGGTTACGGGGAAGGGGGAAATTGCTGTGTGTGTGTGGCGAGGAGGAGATGTTGGGGGGGGTTGGGGCGTTCCGCTCTTTCTCCCCCCCCTCTCCCCCCTTCCAGCCAATGATCTCTTATCACACTGGTCTCGTACGGCAGGTTGGTAGTTGGAACGTCAGTACGGCAATAGGTGACTCTTTGCTTCTTGCTCTTTGCATCCTTCTCCTCCCCGGCCCTGCCCTTACCCCCACCTCTCTTACACCTTCCCCCCCGTCGCACGTTTTCCCCGTCCCCCTTCCCTCTCTTCTCCCCCCTATAAACATACACACACATCCCCAGGTTTGGTCGTACCGTAAACCAGCTAGATGCCCTCTGGCTCCACTTCAGCGCGGAGCTGGGGCTACAGCCTGACACAACCCCCGGCGCACTGGACCCGGGGGCGGGGCCGGGGGAAATACGGTGAGACAAACACACACACACACATACACACTTGCGTGTTCGTGTGTCTCTGTATGTCTGTATGCATGTATCTACTGTATATCAAAAAAACATATATGCGTCTGAGGCAATACCGGCGATGCGATGATAAGAGCAAATTTAGCCCTCAACAACTTCCGTTTCGGAGAAGTTGGCGTTATTGTTGGTTTTGTTGGTTGTGTTGTTATTATTGGTGTTTTGCTGCTTTTGCTTCCTGACCGCATCCGGGTTCCGATGCGAGATTGATGGAGTGGCTTAGAGCCCCCCTCTCCCCCCTCTCCCCCCTCTCGCCGCATAAAGGTGTGGTATGTTGTGGAGGGGCAGCAACGGCAGTAGTCTCGGCCAGCAGCTTGCCGTACGGGGCCTGCTGCAACAGCCGCCGCCTCTGCCACCTCCACCACCACCTCAACATCACCGCGACGGGTGGAGCAGCAGTTGACGTTTTGAATCCTCTGACCGGACGGAAACATTACCCCCCGGGCGACACCGGAGGGGAAGGGGAGGAGGGGGTGTATGGAGGCCCGCACACTAAAGCTCATGCACACATACATACATACATGCATGCATGTATACATACATAGGCCCCGTTCGGAAGCAGCCTCCGAAACCCAACCGCTCTGAAGTAGTCGTCTTCCTTTAGATCCTTCCCCGGGGTGGAAACGGCTACGGACGTGGACCGGGGCCGTACCGTTACTGAACATGGCATGTGCTCACATACATACATACATACATACACACATGCGCGTGCGTGACTGCGCGCGAGCGTGCACCTACATGCATACAGTGAATTTTTGAAATGAACGGAGCCGTGATTAGTAGAGGAAGGAGAAGTGGCATGTCTGTATGTGTCGGTTGATTAGCATATGTGTTTTGGATTAGTAGATGCACGCGGAGGGGTGTTCGTGGGGGGGAGAGAGAGAGTAGGAGTCTGTATGTTTACCTGTCCGTCTGACTAATGACTACGTGACGTTTGATGGTGAGGTTAGGTGAGGTTAGCCTTGATGGGACGTTGGTAGTTGGACGTTGGTAGTTGGACGTTGGTCGTTTCATAGGTCGGCATCAATTTAGTTGGTAGTGCGGTCTGATGAGGACATCGCACCGCGGAGGTCACCACTGGGGGCGGCGGCGGCGGTGGGACCGGCCAGCCCTGACCTGACCTGACTGAAATTACTGAATGACCACGATGTCAGATTGCCGACAAGCTGTGACGGCGATGTTGCAATACACATTTCCTTTGGGCGCCGAAGCGCAGTGAGACCTTAAACCTTGTGCTGCCCTTCTGTACGGTTGGGGTAACATGCATGTCTGCATGTATGTACGTCATTATGTTTCCTGTGGTTCGGTACCAGAGTGGGGGTGTGTGCAGATGTCTTTCTGAGCATGTGGGAGGGAGGAGGGGGAAGAGGGGGGGGGGGGGAAAACCCGTCCTCGTCGTGTATCAGAATGTTCGCCATTGTCAGCAGTGACCATCTTGGCAAACTCATTGCAACTACCGCCCTAACCACCATAACCGCCCTAACCACGTACGTCACCACATCGCTCCGTAAGAGCTCTGTGTTTTTACCTCGGGGCAATCTGCGTGTCTGTAGTATGCAGCGTGAAGAGTGAAACCCGTCACGGCTTTTCCAGGGGTAAAAAACGTTGCAGCGGCAACATCCGCTCCCCTACACTTCCCCCTCACTTCCCCTTCACTTCCCCCTCACTTCCCCTCACTTCCCCTTCACTTCCCCTCTCTCTCTTAACTTTGTTGGTTCCTTACCGCACAGCGGTGATGTCGCAGCCGGAATGGGCTTCCGAAATGTGATGATGATGATATGTATATTAGGATGGAAAGGGGGGTTTGACCTCCGCCTTTACAAGGCTTTAACAGGTCATCGAGAGCCATCAGAAAGCAACCGGCAACAAGCAAACAAACGTCATGGGGATACAAACATCAATATCCTCAACACTTGAAGAGGTTAAAGGAGGACTGTCTCCTCGTGGCTTGAGAGTGCTCCCGCCGCACACGTATAAAAGTGCTGTACCTACCTACATATGTACATACTCCATACATACTTTCAATCAACCAATCCACGTTCTACATACATACATACATACATGTATCATACAGCCACAGCCCCCATACAGCCCTCATCAATCCCGTATCAGACAGACAGACAGACAGACACGTTTCCTCAAGGCGCAAATCAAGGAACGAGCAGCATGACCGTACGCCCTGGAAAGACTACGCGGTTTTAGGGATTGGTGGTAGTTGGTAGTTATCAGTTGGTAGTCAGTTGGTGAATCCGTGTAACTTGAAAACAATAGCAGTTGGCGACAGCGTACAATTGCAAGTGCAACAAATTCACAACGAGATATGATGACAGTTATGGCCTAGTGCGTGTTTGGCTGGCTGGGTTACATACATACGCGCGAACAGCACTAGCTATTACTACCGCGTGATGACATGCTGGCGAGCATACACAACCGCTGTGATGCATGATAACCTCATACCTAAGAATTTAGTAATCATGGTGATGGCAATAATATTGGCAGCAGTATATGGCAGCAGTATTGGCAGTGCTGTTGATAGTGTTGGTAATGACAACGATGGCAGGCAGTAGTGGCAGTCCATGATGGTTGTCATGTGCTGTTGATGAAGTCATAACCCCACATGATGGCACCACACTTCATAACGCTCCCTTCCTGCAAATTGCCATTGCCAATTGCCAATTTGCAAATAGTGAGGTCATAATAGGAACCAGCAGTCAAGCCGTAGTCCGGGGCGACTGGTACCGCTCTCCGGGCTTCCCCCTGCACACGTTTTTCTCTTCCGCTACCTTGCCACCTTTCTTCAATCCAGTCCTGCTTCCCTCCCTCCGTCCCTCTCCGTCCCTCCCTTCCTCGTGCTGTCACTGAGATCCGCGCTCCCCCGAAACCCCCACCGCCCAGGGCTCCGTCACTTGCAGCGCCGCCGAGCCACGCATACTCCCCCCTCCTGCACCCCCTCCTCCTCCTGGGCGCCCTCCTCCTCCTCCGGCCCCATTTCGGCCGCCCGACCCCAGCTGGCCGCTTAGCTGACCGACCCCAGGGCCGCCCATCGGCTGCAGCGGCTGCTGTAGCTGCTGTTGCTGTTGTAGCTGCTGTTGCTGTTGCCGCACCAGTAGTTCCAGAAGCGTCTTCACTTCGCCGCGCAGCTCCGAAACCTCCCCCCACAGCAGGTCCAAGTTCTCCGCGATGCGGCCACGCCGGTTGAAGAGCGAGAACTGGCGGTTGCGAGTTGCCTCCCCGGTGGTGGCGCTGGTGGGAAGGGTGGTGGTGGTGGTGCCGTCGGCCGTGGCGGCAGCAGCAGCAGCAGCAGCAGCCGCCTCGTGGTCGTCGTCTTGGCCGTCTGGTTTACATCGCGATGCAGCCGCTTTGCCTCCGGTAGTGTTGGTGTTGGTGTTGGTGTTGGTGTTGGCGGTGCTTCCTGTGTTGGTGTACAGGTCCGGGAAAACCCCAAGTTAATACGGGTTAGGAAGACGGACAGATGGCATGTGCCTTTCATCGCATGTAGACCGGATATGTATGCGCGTGTGGTAGGGAGGTCTAGTTAACGGCCGCCAGCAGGCGCCTGTACGCGTCTGTATGCATATCTGTCTGTATGCATATCTGTCTGTCTGTCTGTCTGTATTGCGTATGTATGTAACAGTGTCTTGTTTCCTGCCCGGGGCTGGAGGAAGCCGCCACCGGAACAGCGAGCGAGTGGCGGACCTGGGGAGGGGGGAGAGGCAGCCTCCCCCACCTGGATGACGTCATGAGGCCCGTGTGTGTATGTACGCGTGTGTCCTGATGAACTTAGCAGAGAGAGAGAGAGAGAGAGAGGAAAAGAGAGAGAGAGAAAAAGAAAGAAGCGCTCCTGGTGATGGACCAACACACGGATGTGTCGTACGCGGATGTGTACGACTTCTCCCCCGAGGGGAGGAAGACGACAGAGGGGTGAGAAGGTAATTCCCAAAAGAAAAAAGCCATGTAGTTGGCGAACACCCCTGTCCATGCAGCCCCCAGGCCCCCACCAGACCACATATAGATACATGCACAAACGTACGCACACGCACGTACACACATACACACACACCTGCAGAGGCTTTGACGGCGGTGATGGTGGGCTCCCCCCCTCCCCCGACCAGCCCACTTCCTGAGCCCACCTCCCCCACGGTGGTGCTGGTGTTCTCCTGCACCATATGCCTGAGGTACGAAGGGGGGACAGGAGGGCAGGCAAGTTAGGTTAGTAGGGAGGTACACAGATACGTATCTTCAACGTACGTCCCCACAAAACACATCCATCCAAACCCATCCATCCATCCATCCATCCATCCATCCATCCATCCATCCATAACAGACACGCACCGAAACACACAATCTTTCAGCTCCCTGCCTCCAGCCCTCCGTATAGCATTCGCCTCCCCGTTCATCGCCACTCCCTTCCCCCCTTCCCCCTCTTCCCCCCCCACACACACATGCGCACACATGCAACGGATTCACTGGCTCGGTAAAGTTGTCCCCTCGGTGACCTCGTACATCTCGCGGCTCATTTCCTTGAACAAGTGCACGGACGGTATTTTAACCGTATACGTACACACATACACGCATTCGTACACGCATCTACCTGCGGTACACCTCCAGCAGCCCCTCCCGCACGAGCTTACGTCCCCGATCACTCCAGCCCAGTCCGGCACAGCGGGCCACCAAGGGCTGCTGCTTCATACGGCCCCAGCACCACTCGGCGGCGTCCAGCAGGTCATCAACCTGACAGAGAGGGAGGGAGGGATTGAGGGAGGGAGGGAGGGAGGGAGGGAAAAATAAGTGGTCTTACATTAGCTGGTGCTATGGTTATGCGAATGTCTACAACTGATTCGTGTATAGGAGGGAGTGGAAAAGAACAGAAAGGTAATTGCCTGGTGGTGGTGCGGGACAGTACTACAGCCGCAGCACCCGGGAAGAAGGTGAAATACACACACGTACATGTCCAGGTCAACAAAGGAAGCCCTCAGAGGAGGTGGGAGGAAGGAAGGGGGGGGGTAAAAGGGGGGGAAACCAGACCCGGTGCTTGCGTGAGGGAGGTCTGAGTGTCTGGGAGTGTGCGGGGGTGTGAGGGCAGGGGTAGGGGTCGGGGTCGGGGTCGATGGGGAATACTGAATACCGCAAGCTGGATGCTGCTGGTGGTGAAAGGAAGGGTGTGCTAAAGGATGATTGTTAAAGTTCAAGAGAAAATTCCACATTCCCCCCAAACCCGCCAAATCCCCCAAACCCCACCTCCTCTTCAGTCATTGCGAACAAGTCATCCCCCTCGCTGTAGGTGATGGGTAGTCTGCCCCGGGAGACGGGGCGGCCCTCGGAGGGGTCGCGGGTAAACAGGGGGGGCAGGCGCCGCAGCCGGGGGCCCTCCCCGGACCTGAGGGGAGGGGGGGGGGCAGGAGGAGGGAGGAGAGGACGGGAAAATGTGTGTCGGCCGGTGCGGTGGTGGTGGTTGGGCAAAATTTGAAAGCCCCCGTGCTAAGTGTGTACGGAAGTGTACGGCAGTGGATGCTTGTTTTGCCCAGGAGAAAAGGAGAGAGTTGTTTTGAGGATGTTTGGAGGATGCAAGGTTTCGGAGGTCAGCGGTCTTACACATATACATACATACACACACGTATACGCACACGTACACATGACGTACATACATACGACATACACATGTGCTCACACGCGATTCACTTAAATAATTCCCGCGATATAGCATTCATCGCACCAAACGCTTTTTCCCGCTGCAGCCCCTCCACCCCCCTTCCCCGCAAACCCCCTCCCCGCCCCCATCCACCCACTCGTCAAGCGGTACATCCTCCCAGCAGTACAGCGGGTAATCGAGTTGCTCGTCCCAGGGGGCTTGCTGAGAAACGTCCAATGGGGAGCTGCGGTGCCAGGACCAGGGGCTGTACATGAATAGAATATCTGTACGGGAGAGGATGGCCGCCGGAATGGGGGGAGAGGGGTTGGAAGGGATGAAAGTCAGCCAGCGGAAGGTAGGGAAATTTGCAGTACATGCGAATCATTAACTGTCTGCACATATATACAAACATACACACAGACATACAAACATATACACAGACATGCACACATCCACAAACATACATACGAACAAACATACATCGTGTATACATCCCTCCAACACACCTGAAGCTGGTTCCGTGTACAGCTGCGCGAGCAGTCTCATTTCCGGAAGGTCCGCCAGGGCCCAGCGAGCAAACACATGAACGTGGAACGCCATGTCAGGGCGGGAGAGTGACGTCATCAGCCCCTCAGCCAACTCGTACGGCGACTCGCGCAATACCCACCGGTGGTACCTTTCGGACGACAGGGGACAGACAGGGGGCGAGGGCGGGGAGGCGGGGAGGCGGGGGCTGGGCGGGGAAGTAGGCGGGGAGTTGGCGGGGACCCATCTAAGGAAAAGAGGAACCTTCGAATTTCCGGAGCCTCCAAGCGAGCCCTTTGCAGACGTATGGGAGCGAGCTCGAGGCTCGGAGAGAGGGGGAGAAGGCGGAGGGGGGGGACCGGCAGCAGGTCAAGCGGGAAGAAGACGAGGGGGGCGGGGAGGAGGAGTAACACACGCGT